ACAATTTATGTACTGAGTGCCCACTACAGTGTCAGCACTCTGTGAGCCCTGCTATGTACTATGTACCAGACCACATGTCTTTGGTCAGTCTGTTCTTTACTTCCTTTGCCTAGAACGCAACCACCTATTACCAAACCCCTTGACTACCTGCTTTCCTCCAACTGACAACCTCCTAGTTACCTTCAAAACCCACTTATAAATTCCCTATTTTGTAAAGCTCAAATGGTCTCTCTTTCTGAAATTTTCTCCTTTCCTCTCCCAACATATTTAATTGCTCCAAAGAATCCTGTTTATACTTTACTTACAGTATCTATAGCATCATATTACAGTTGTTTGTAAACTTGTATGTTCCCTGGCTTGATGCTAATAAGGTCACGGAGGGTAAATACTATACAGTATTCAGCTTGTATCTCCTGCACTAAGCATAGTGCCTGGAACACCACACAGTAATTGCTTAATTAGAGTCTGTTTAATGAGTGATCAAAGCAGGGTGTTCAATTTAACAAGACCCAATAGGAAGAAATTGAAGGAGGAACATCTAGAGACACAGAGACCCAACAGACAACTATTGCTAAAATCTAAACATGAAGTAGGGCTTCCCTGGTGGCGCAGTGGTTAAGAATCCGCCTGCCAACGCAGGGGACATGGGTTCGAGCCCTGGTCCGGGAAGATCCCACATGCCGCGGAGCAACTAAGTCTGTGCGCCACAACTACTGAAGCCTGCGCACCTAGAGCCCGTGCTCCGCAACAGGAGAAGCCACGGCAATGGGAAGCCCGCACACTGCAATGAAGAGTAGCCCCCGCTCGCCGCAACTAGAGAAAGCCTGCGCGCAGCAATGAAGACCCAACGCAGCCAAAAATAAAATAAATAAATAAATAAACAAATTAAAATAAATAAATAAATAAACATGAAGTAACAAAGGTCTGTAAGGGAGAGTGGAAAGTTAACTGAAAGAAAAAGAGACCTGGAGAAACTTGTGAGTTGGTGGTTTATTAGACACAGAAGATAAAAGAGTGGGAGTAACCAAGGATTACCAAATTCACTGGGATAACTGGGTGACCGAAACAGCAAAATATTAATTAAGGTGCCACTGTTACTAACAGATAAACCCTAAAGTTTAAGTTGTTGAACAAATAGATTTTTCCTCTCACACATCAAGTCAACATGGATATTCCTGATGGACAGGTGGCTCTCCTCCAAGGGGTGCAGGTACCTTTCATCTTGGTCACTTCCCAAATCACCTGCTTAAGGTATACTGCAAATGTAAGATTTTTATGGTCAGGAAATTGTAAATTTCGTTTATGCTTATATTTTATTGGCTAGATCTCATTCATACGGCCCAGCCAACTGCAAAGGAAGGCTGGGAAATGTAGTCTAGCTGAATACTCAGGAAGAAAAGAAAATGTGCTTGGCAAACTTGTTTTAATCGCTTCTAATGCAGTTAACAAGAGGTGGTAGGAAATTTCAGGGAATGAAGGTAGAGTGAAAATTTGTGGCCTGTTTATAATTGCTAGTTAGATAAGAAATATTTGAGTCAGTTCTTCCTAAACCAACTGAGAAAACTGAACCATTAGTCACAAAATTCACCTGCATTTCTTTAAATGTAATAATCATGTAACACTAGAGAAGTCTATAGTTATGCTATGTATTATATATTACATGATCTATCTTTTGTACACAAAATATAAACATCCTATCATTAAGAATAAGTTATAAACATTTTCCCAGTTGTGGCTAGGGATGCTTGTAAATTCAGTAATACTTTTTTTTGCCTGATCACCTTTGTAACCAATTTTTAAAGTCAGGGTTGGTGGAATAAACCTAAAGTCCATGGTCTTGTTTGAAAAAGGTTATGGTAGATGTTTACAGTGCATTTTTATAAATGTAACTCACCTGTTTTTCAAAATGCAGTTATTACATTTTAGCCTAAATTCTGCCTCTCTTGGCCATTATGTGATAAGTTCACGAGACACATCCACAAGATATATCCAGCAGTTATATCCTTAGGCCAAACAAAAGAGGTCACTTAACTCACTTTTGTTCCCTTAGGTAATTTACTCAGGTTCCATTAACTGACATCAAAGTCAAGTTTATGAGAGAAAAACACCAACAATGTAAATCCCAGTAGTTAAGAGGTGAATTTAAAAGCTCCCAAATCAGTACTTCCCTCAAATGTTAAATAATTCACTGTGGCATTATAGATACAAGCCTCCAGCAAAAGTTACACTTGAACTATTAAGCTAGCAGGAGCCAAACAAATGACTTCAGGGATAGAGAAACAAATGAATGGTTTCTCGTAGTAGTATGCCAAATTACATTTTCACATTAACCAGTGTGTAGAACACCCAAGCATCACCAGTGACTTACTAGATAAAGTTTGATTACAGAAAAACAGCCTGGAACCACAAATCAGGATTATTCCCTAAATGTAACTGTGGATTCTATACACTTGGGTATGAAACCCATTTACGCCATTTGGAAAAATTTTATATTCATAATGTACCACCTACTCTTTTGCAGAGTTCTTTTACAATTGCTCATATTACAACGACTATCTACCAAATGCATTATGTTCCTGTAAAGGATCAGAAGGCGACGCAGCTATTTCTTAGAGGCTAAATAAGAAATTGGAAACACAAGGTCACAACACAGTGCACTGTGTACATACAATAAAGATAACAGCATCTGCATAGTAGAAAGAAATACACTTTATATTTAAATTCTAACTCCACTTTCTACCTAGAGGATTTTAGACAAGTCTTAATCTCAGCAGTAGTTTCTTTTTCTATAAAATGGGGACTATTCATTTATGCAATAAATATTTACTTAACACCTATCAAGTGTCGAATACTTCCAAGTGTTATTTTAGGATTAGTGATAGTAAACCATAGCTGGTATTCATTAGATGCGTGTATGGCTACCCAAATGCAAGAGCAGATGACTGACCATGGACTTCCCTGGTGGTACAGTGGTTAAGAATCCACCTGCCAATGCAGGGAACATGGGTTCGAGCCCTGGTCCGGGAAGATCCCACATGCCACGGAGCAACTAAGCCCGTGTGCCACAACTACTGAGCCCACATCCCACAACGACTGAAGCCCACGCACCTAGAGCCTGTGCTCCACAGCAAAGACAAGCCACCACAATGAGAAGCCTGCGCACTGCAACAATGTGTAGCCCCTGCTCGCTGCAACTAGAGAAAACCCACGTACAGCAATGAAGACCCAACTCAGCCAAGAATAAATAAATAAATTTTAAAAAGAGCAGATGACTGACCAATAAAACGGTTAAAGTCGGAGACTGAAAAATCCATGGAGTTCCAAACAGGAAACAGAGATACATGGTTACAAGGTAATGTGAGGTCTAATTCCTTTCCAGGGACTAACAGGTTATTGGTATTCATTGTAGATGTTTATGTATTTTCTCTAATTATTTCAACTGAACTCAGCCAACAGCTTTTCTACAAAATTTACAGGGTAAAATTTTGAGCTCCAATTCAAACAGGTTGGGGAAAGATGTAGATAGATGTATTGAAGATTTGCCAAGTTACTGTCCGTTCATAAGTTTTCCTAGACATACTTAAGGGAAGACCTTTTTTGGTATACTAATTTTAATGGCTAGTCTAACCTACAAGTGAAATACATTTTTTGAATCAGACTAGAAAAGCCGAATAAAATTAAGAAGAAAAAAAAAAACAACAAAACATGAGATTTGGAAGAAAGAGAACTATATAGTTAGAGCCTGAACTTTTCCTCATTTGCTAGTCATGTCACCTTGAAAAACATTTCAAGGTTTCTGAAACTCAGTTTTCTCAAGAGTAAAATAAGTATAACGACAATTCTTACCTATGGAATTGTTGTAAGGATCAAATGGGATAACTGTCATTAAAATGATCAGTAACCTACAAAGCACTAAATAAATATAAATTATCTCAGAGTGAACAGGAACTGAAAATGATCCCAAGATATTTCTTCTAGAGAAGACACTTAGGTGGATCAATGGTAAAAGCTCTGCAAAATTACCCTGGCTAGAGGAGAGGCCATCTGTAACCCCAACAGTGATCATCTTTGCTTGCATGTTAATGAAGGTCACTGGACTTCATAGCAGGCAAGCTAGTCATCTTTAAGTATTACAGAAGAAAAAAAACATTTATGGGTAAGACTACCAGGAATTTTTTAAAAATCTAAGATGTGGATTTGTTTTTAAAGTAAATAAATAAAAGATATATTAACCGTAAGCCGAAGTTTCTAGAAATACTTCTTTTTGTGAGGAAAATTTTCCTGTCACCCGTGTTTCTGGGTGGTTTTAATTTCAGGTGCCCACGTCCACTTGCAGACTATTACTTCCATACAGGCTTCTAACACAGTGCCAAGTATACTGCTAAGATCTGATAGTATTATTACTAAAAAACATGCTGTCATTTAAAAAAGCAAAACTGAAAATTTAAAGTTTGTTTTATATGCAGCAAAAATGACTGATACGTACTCATAAATTTATTTTTTAATCTAAATGTGTGAGATGTAAAAGTTTCTTATTCCAGTCACTTTAATAAAAACCTCTTCACCATAAAAATAAGCAAAATAAAATAAATGATATAGCACTGAAGTAGACATCTCCTAAAATGGTAGTTACATCATTATATACACAACTAAGTTATCATATTGAGTAGGTTTAAAAATCATGAATCCTGGACTAAATGACATAGAGTTCTCTACAGAAATACAATGATACCATGATGGGGCAGGAGGGTAGTATTCAATAGGAAAGTTTAAATGCTCAAGGCAGAAATGAGAAATATTAGACACAAAATTTACCAGAGTTACATACAAAGCAGCTAAGCCTATTAGATTTGTTAGGAATAATAAAAATCCATGTTTTAACTTTACAAAATATTTTAATCTATCTTTGAATCAGAGAATGACAAAAAACTAAACAGTGATTTCTACTGACCACTGTAAGAAAACATGCTTTAGAGAGCAATGTCAAAATTTCTTCTTACCATGAATAGATACCACTGACCATGTCATAGCTCTGACATGAAGCATTCACACTGCTGGGCCCAGCTGCTTTAGAAATAAGTAGCACCACCAAGCCCCTCAACTGGAGGTTATTCTGGCTGTCGTGTACAAGGCCCCTGCCAACAAGTAAAGAAAGAAGAGGATTAACACACCCTCACAAAATCAGTCAGATCAAATTAGAGAATTGCTGCAAATACACCCATGCTTCCAAAATCAGACAATGTGACTTGTTGAAAAGAAACAGGATTGGTGGAAGAAAGAGTTAACAGGAGGAAGCAACAAGTTCAGGAAACAACTAGAGAAACCCATGGCTGGTTTTGAAAGTGACAATCTCAAAATTGTGAGGCCTAATGATTTGGCTTCCTCCTCTTTCTGGGTTTTCCCACTGTCTATACCCTACCACGCAATCTTAACCATTTGCTCTGATAATGAGAGGAACCCATAGTTTTAAACTGTTCTGTGGTAGTTGACAGCAGGTGAAATACAAATTGTATGGCATGGATGAAGTGGTATTATGTGGCGATGATGCTGGTAAGGGGAAGTGGTAAAAAATGGTTTCTGTCTTCACAGGTAGAAAATTTATTTGAGAAGTAAAATGGAAATGAATTCCATGGGCAGATATCTTGCCATTTCTTATTTTTTATGCAAAGAATAATCATTCTAGATAATGGTAGTCTTTAACATAGAATGTAATTTTTTTTGCTATGAGGATTGAATTTTTATAATTTCTACTACAGCTAAGGTCAGGAATACTTTCTAAGATTATATGTTTGTTTAAGTATCGCAATGGTTGTCATACAATAACTAAATGGCATCATTAAAAAAAGAAAAAAGACAGAAAACTATGGGTAACGTATTATAATAAATTAATATTTAGAACAATGTTCATGAGCATTAAATAGGTTACACTAAAGTATACATAAATAACATATAAATATAATTCTTGAATGTGGTGAAAACAGTAAAAAAATTTCTTATTAATTTGTATTGGAGTATAGTTGATTTACAATGCTGTGTTTGTTTCTGCTGTACAGCAAAGTGAATCAGTCATACGTATACATATATCCACATTTTTTAGGTTCTATTCCCATATAGGTCATCACAGAGTATTGAGTAGACTTCCCTGTGCTATACAGTAGGTCTTTTTTTTTTTTTTTTTTTTTTTTTTTTTGGAGTACACGGGCCTCTCACTGTTGTGGCCTCTCCCGTTGCGGAGCACAGGCTCCGGACGCGCACGCTCAGCAGCCATGGCTCACGGGCCCAGCCGCTCCGCGGCATGTGGGATCTTCCCGGACCGGGGCACGAACCCGTGTCCCCTGCATCGGCAGGCAGACTTCTCAACCACTGCGCTACCAGGGAAGCCCAGTAGGTTCTTATTAGTTATGTATTTTATATATAGTAGCGTGTATATGTCGACCCCAATCTCCCAATTTTATCCCTCCCCCACCTTTCCCCCTTGGTAACTATAAATTTGCTTTCCAAATCTGTGACTCTGTTCCTAAAAACAGTAAAATTTTGTATTTTAATACTTCACTGAATTATTGAGACTTCCTTGGGTGAATTCTGAACAACGAATTAATTTAAATAAGTAAGTTAACATAGCCAAAATTAATGAGTCAGTCCATTACTTAAGAAAATTTTCACCCTTCATGCCTCCAAATAAATTTTTAAAGGGGTCCCTTCTTGCTCTTTCAATAGTTTCAAAATAAGACAGATCTTCAGGCTCTCTGCAAGATAACAGTTACAGCTCTTTCTCTACTTATATTTTCTCCTTAATCTAGTAAGTGACCTTCAGCAAGTTAGAGGGGTTAATGATTTTTACAAAGAAGTTCTAATATCTGTTAATTTAAGGTAATTAAGCTATATTATAGTAGAAACAAATAATCACCAGAAATGTCCAAAGCTCTGTATTATTATGCAACAATCTACTTAAATCCTACAGACCTGAACTGTCAGGAGGTTGCGAAGCACCCTATTTTGGAAGTAGAAAATGTAAAATGGGAGCGCTCTCCAAATGTTTTGCTTTGAATTACAGATTTTAACTTATGCTACTAGACCCTTATTTATGTATTACCTGAGGTAAATAATAATAATATTAAATAGAAGCTCTGAATTGGCTCCTAATTCTAGAAAGGGAAAAGAGGAAGGTGAGGATGTGTGTGTGGCTGTGTGTCTTGGGGGTTGAGCCTGGTTAGGAATGAAGGATATGAAGGTAAGAACTCATATCCTCTAATGAAGGATATGAGGGTAAGAACTCTGACAGCTGGCCAAGTCACGCTGAAGAAATAGGCCTGGCAACAGTTCTGACAACACCTTCCTCAAACTTCTCAGATAGGCGACCTTTCACAGAGGACACATACATCATCATCATCATCATCATCAAAATACAACAGCAGCAGCAGCAACAACAAATCCTTACATAGGACTTCATATATGCCAGGAACTATTCTAAGCATTTTACTATATATTAATTAAATTAATTCACAACAACTCTATGAGGAAGGTACCACAATTACTTTGATTTTACAGATGAGGAGAATGAGGCACACAGAGAGATCAAGCAACTTGTTCAAGGTACCACAGACAGTAGGCGTTAGAGCCTTGATAGAGCCAGGATTTCAACCCAGGCCACCTGGCCCTAGAGTCTATATACATGCTTACCCATTATGCTATAGTGACTCTCCATCTGCTTCACCTCATGTACCAACTATTTGCTAAGTCAGTAGAATAGTGACCACTTTAAAACCAGGTTTGAAAAATCCTTCTGCCATTTATTAGCTGTATGACTCAGACTATCACCTCTTCCGTAAAATGAGATTAACAACATCTACTTTCTGTAGTCATTGTATGGAACAGACAACATGAGTGAAGCATAAACCACTGTGGAAGCACATGGAAGGTGACAAGGTGATCAGAAAACTACATCTCTCTCCTTATTACTTTTTAAAAAAATTAATTAATTTATTTAGGCTGTGTTGGGTCTTCATTGCTGTGCGTGGGCTTTCTCTCTAGTTGTGGCGAGTGGGGGCTACTCTTTGTTGTGGTGCGCGGGCTTCTCACTGCAGTGGCTTCTCTTGTTGCGGACCACGAGTTCTAGGCACGCAGGCTAAGTAGTTGTGATGCATGGGCTTAGCTGCTCCGCGGCATGTGGGATCTTCCCAGACCAGGGCTCGAACCCATGTCCCCTGCACTGGCAGGTGGATTCTTAACCACTGCGCCAGCAGGGAAGTCCCTCTCCTTATTATTTTTTTGCCATCTATTTTTTTCTCAACTCTTATATTTTCTTTTTCTTTTACTGTTTCTCCTTCTGTCTCTCAAAGTCTTACCCACTACCAGCATATATAATTTCCTATAAATACTGTTTCCTTTTCTATCCCCCAACATAACAAAAGTTAAGGAATTCTTCCGACCATGACCTTGAATCATCATGTATCACTGAAACACTGGCCACTTTCAGAATGAATTACTGAAAAGGTCAGGAAAAGAAACTACAGTAGACCAGTTACCAGAAATCAAGAGAGCAGTCAGAAAAGCACACCTTCTAACCATCAATTTTCACACAAGACAGTAGTTAACAACCCAGAGAACACATTAACAGGTTGAATAAATTAAATGTTTCCAAAACACCAGGCCTTTCAATTCACTTCATTAACATCCTTTAAAAAAAAAGTACTAAGATAATTCGATAATGTTCACAGCTCAAAAACTAGCTCACAACAAAAGTAAGAAATTTTGCTCCTGAGCATAAAAAGTCCCTAGGATTCTAAACTTGCAGAGTTAATGTTTCATATGGTCCAGGTCATACTTCACCTGGAACACTATGATTTACTCTGAGTGCCTCTCTTAAGGAGAAATACTGACAAGCTGGAGCATATCCAGAAGATGGTGAAATCATATACTGCCACAAGCTTGGCTAACCCCCCCAAAAAAAAGAAAATGAATGCTAGCTTGGAGAACAGTAAAGTTGGTGTTCTCAAATTTATGCAGTCAAAAATGTAGTAAATGCTTACTACATGTCAGGTACAGAGCTAAACAGAGAGTGGAGGACATGATGGCGAGCAATGGTGAGCTGTGGTCTCCCTTCTTGTGGATAATATAGTCTGGATTTAAAATAATAATAAAATGTGGTATGAGCTACTTTAGGAGATGAACAAGGACAACTAACATAGGCACAGAGAAAGGGCAACTAACATAAGCAGGGGTGAAGGAGTGGTGAAAGGGACCCCGCTGAGACCTAAAGGATGAGACAAAGTAGTCAGGGGAGCTGAAGCAAGGAGGGGAAGTGAAAAAAGAGTGTTCCAGAGAGGAGACAATATGTGTGAAAGTTTGGAGCAGAAAGAGGAGGACACAGCTGTCTCCAGAATCAATAGGGCAGGAATACAGTGTGTGAAGGGCAGGGTTGGGAGAATTAAAGCTAGAGGAGTACATGATGACTGTATGTTCATCTGAAAGGGTACCATAAGGATAGGCGATAGACCTGGTAAGTATTACTTTAGAGACTGACACTAATAGACAGAAAATATAGCTGGTGAATTTTGGCTCGACATGAAGAAATTAAAAAACAGAGGAGTCTCTGTTGATGCTGAGTCTCTTGAGAATAAAGATGTTTAAGAAGCTGCACAGCCTCTGATACAACACATTAGAGGGAAGCCTGGACTATTCAACATCTGGGTTTTTCTCTTACTCTGTGATTCTTTATTATCTCACTTTACTACATTTAATTATCTAATACTCTACAATATGTATAATAAGTATAAAAATTGGGAGAATTTGTTAACATCATCTAAGTGTCATAAACGAAAGCAATATTTAGTATCTTTATCACTAAAATTCTACAGAATTGTTTTCCTTTCACTAATATAGATTTTAAAAGAAAAACCAAAAAACCTTTATCATTCATTCAACTAATGCAGACCGGAAACCTTTCATACATCAGGCACAGTGCTTGGCATAGATGTCATGGTGAGCAAAACCAGGCACAGAGCTTGTGAAGCTTACAACCTAGTGGAAGAGACTGGTAATAATGAAAGAATGACAAATAAATGTAAAATTACAATAGTAATAAATGCCACAAAGGAAAAAGAGAGACGATGCTGTGAGAGCTTACAACTGGGAA